TTGGTGTATATCAAAATGCCCATACAAATGCTTGAACAAACAAGTTCCATACGTTATCAGTGTCGTTGATTTCGTATTTATTTCTAATTTCAGATTTTGTTATATTCCACGACGTCATGTTATATCCCCAGTAGCTGTTCTTTTATGTCATCGAAGAGGTTTGATCGAGAGGAACTCTTGTTATCAATATCTCATTGACAAGGTTCGTTTGATCTCTCTGTGTGTTCTTGCAATTCAAAAAATAACTTTTCTCTTTAATTAATTTGAAATTGAGATTAAACTTTAAAAGCTTGAATATGTTATCGTCCACCACGATAATGGCTTGCAACTTTCACATACTGTCCTGTCAATTCCCAGTTTCACGTGCAATTACGATTTCAAAAGCGTCATTAGAGGGACGGATCACGGAGAGAACCAGCGAAGCTAATTATGTCATTGCCGAAAATAATCAGAGCCATATACACTGACTCCGTTAAATACGATGCACTTTTAGTCGACCGATATTTCGTCTGATGGCATTTATGTTTGAGACTTGTAACACCGCAATATATGAATTTCAATATGCTTAGTTTCAAAGGTTGACAATTGAAAGAGAAGGAAGGAAAGCTACATACGAGAAAAACCCCATAGAAAAGCCTTGTTGACTTTGGTAACTGAAACGCACTTACTAACACAAGTTTCACGCTTGACTACAGTCCATGTTCATGCAATATTTTGCAATAACTATCCCGATAATACCTTACGAATCATTCCAAATATTCTACAAAGGTAACACACTGACGGAAACATAGGTCCACAACTTATGTCTTCACTGTAAATACTTTGAATTTCGTGGATTGACATCCGGGCCGTAGCGAGGAGGGTATTGTGGTGGGGTGGGGGGGGGGGGGCGGGGTTAACCCCCCAACGTTTTTAGAATTAACATGTTTGGAAAATCGGGTTGGCCATTCGGAAAATTACGGCAATAATAGTATAACGAAATTTTAGTTTGTTAAACAGAGAAAGTATTATAGAATTGTATTGTCAGTATAAACTGATTTACGAAACATGGCATTTACATGGATAACAATTTACAAATCGTGAATCGATAAGTGGTTTTCGGTTTATTGCTTCTCTAATATGTCTATGCGTAGAATATGCGTATTTTTGTTTGTATTTGATCAATAACTTACTCAATTTTCTCAAGGAACCCTTAGAAATTTCAAATCTGATAATTTTTATCAGTGACAGTGGCAGGAAATGAAAGATCATTCACCAAGCTAAAAGACCGTGAAAACCGCTTTGGGCAATTTCATGTCAGATCTGACAGGGCCGTAGCAACCGGGGGGCTGGGGGAGTGCAGCCCCCCCCCCCGAATAATTTGCTAATAATCGATCTTTTTTCTTTTTATGCAGACCTTTATCATTTTAGTAATAGTAATATACTAAAACACACTACACTTTTCTGCAACTTATCCAATATATTAATATAGTTACGCCTTCGCCCATTTAGTACTACTAAATTGTAAACAAATTGTAAATTTCGACATACTAAAACGCTGTTTTCTGACCATCAGAATTTTGTCAAATCTTCCCCAAAGTCCAGGAAATGGCATTTCAGAGACTCTAAATTTAAAAATTCCCCTCCCCCCATTAAAAAAGAGCTTCTTACGGCACTGTGATCATCGATTTCAAAACTTAAGTTTGTTTCAAACAGCGAAAGAGATATTACAGATAGTGTGGACTTAGACCTATTCAGGTTGAGAAATGGTTCATGAAGACCATTCGACAGATAAAATTGTGACATTTATCATGCCTGAAATGTCGTTTTCATTACGTTTTATGGAAGCTTTTGTGAACATAAACAATTGCTGCAGCACAAAATCATTACCATATTGTGGCATTGTTGTTGAACTTATTACATTACTTCATTATTATAATGTAGTTATGATGCATTGATATTCTAAGTGCGTCTAATAAAAAACGGCTTTAATATTTCTAATATATATTGCGTCTCCCGATTTTCCGGATACCTTCGTGACTTCGTATGCCATGAAAGATTCGGAAATTTTTTTCGTTATTCGGAAATTTTTGCCCGACACCCCCACCCCCCCAACTATTCATGCTACCTCCAGCCCTGATTGACATTCTAATAAATCGCCTGTACAGTATCTTCACATCATACTATATATATATATATATATATATATATATATATATATATATATATATATATATATATATATATATATATATATATATATATATATATATATATATATATATATATATATATATATATATATATATATATATATATTATATAAACCCTTCATCATTTCCAGACCGCGCGCAAGCAGAAAGATGCCTGCCGCGGTTGGGTCTTGAACCCGCGACCTTCGAATTACCTACTAGTGCGACGCTCTACCAACTGCATAGGCTACACGGTCAGACGGATTTAAGAATGGAAATTATGAACTATATACTGAATGTCATAAACATACTCGTTTATATTAATTCATCATCGATCAATACTAGTTCTGCAAGTCTTTATCTTGTGTTGTGTTATTGTTCACTCGGTTATAAGATAAGGAAAAAATGTTCTCGAGTGAGTATTTCATAATTTCCAGACCGCGCGCAAGCAGAAAGATACCTGCCGCGGTTGGGTTTTGAACCCGCGACCTTCGAAATTACTAGATCGACTACTATTTTGAATAAAATACCAAATAGGTGAAACTTGTGGGAATTCGTAAATTATAAATCACACATTGATATTGCCATACATATAAATGGCCATTTTGATGTATTGGTTCTGTTGTCCGGGATTGCGAATCGTATGCCCGGTAGACTTATCGCCGGTAGGACTAAGTAGACAAGTACTGGAAATGTGCAAGCGAAGCAATTTTGATACACATCACACATGTGAAAAATAAACAGCAACAAACGTGTTTTGTTAGCTAAATATATGTGGTTTTAAACCTTTTTGTGACTTGTTATGGGATACTTATCCTTGGAGCACCAAACACAAAAGGCAGGTTTTCGAATTTTCTAATATTAAACTTTTTATATTAAATATTGTTGGAAGCCGATCTGCTAGTTTGTATAACCCGTATAGGCATATAAACAATTGTTTAGCGTTGGCATACTATTCTGCGTTATACCACATAAGGTCCACATTATGTAACAAGATATGATGTAATACAGACATAAGTTCATTATAGACTATAGTCTAGATCTAATTTAATAGACTTGGGAGATCACAGGAGCAGACTACTTGAACCATGGAAGGATGTGCATGATTTTGTCTGGAAGGTTTAATACTGTCACTCATGCAGTCGTTATATAAAGGTATGTATGGCTATATAAACAATTATTGCGTCATGCAGATGAACTCATATGCGATGTTGTTCTATATATAATTAGCGCTTTCAAAATGTGTACATTTCATTCAACTAAACCAAATTTTTGTAATCTCAGCTAGGGGCCACGAAGAGGTTTCCTTCCTGAATTTCAATGCGGTTAACCGAGCTTAAATTGTTTCCCGATTCGCATGGCCTTGTGTCTACGAGACACATGCACTCATTCCTGCTGTTTAAGACTTTATAATTCCATGTTACACCAAGCATGTTTTGCTGAAGTTCGGTTTCTTGAGACTTTCAATCACATATATAAGTGGTATTTAAAGCAGCTACTTAAATTTATTTTCTGAATTTCAGGATCATGGCGTTGTGTCTAACTCAGAAAATTCGAGGACTTTTCCAAACCGAATCAGTGCAGAGAAAGAGTATAACAATGCAACCTGTGGTTTAATATGAACTTATTTGAGGTACAAGATTTTTACTTCCGTCTTCTGATAGTACGCCTTATATATACACAGTCTACGACCGAGTTCTCCGCGTTGTTCTGTCGCTTGTAGTGTGATCGGCTGGTAGAGCAAATCATCCTCCCCCCCAAAAAATCGCTTGAGTAAAGCAATGTGTCGAATGTGCCTTTTTGTCAGACAGTACAATTATATTTCATTTGGTCGTGAAACCAGCTTTAGGAAACTCGCTTTGGGCGAAGCGAAGTGGTTGCCTTTTAGGGAGGCAAGATCTCATCTGGCCATCAAAACAAAATATTCGCTTTGGGTGAAGCGAAGTGTAATATATACTTTCGGCGAAGCAAGTCATTTTAATAGCATTAAAACAAAACAATAAAAACTTGCTTTAGCGAAACAATTAAAATATGCCTTTGCAGATGAGGCAAGATTGTATTTGGTGATTAAAATAAAACAACTCGGTTTGCATTAAACGAGGTGAAAAATATGCCTTTTCTGCATGAGATCATGAGAATACATTTCATTTTGGCATTACAATGCCTTGGAAATATGTCTTTGGTGAAGCATGTATTTATAGCAAAGATATTTACTGTACGAACGCAAGTTCGGTTTTCTATAAGACTTTCAGTCACACTCATATAAGTGGTATTTAAAAGCAGCTATACTTAAAGGAAGCTATGCTTATTTTCTGAATTTCAGGATAATGTTTAATTACCCAGAAAATTCGAGGACTTTTCCAAACTGAATTGCAGAGAAAGGGCAACAATCAACCTGAAGTTCGAGCTTATTTGAGGTACAAGATTTTTACTTCTCTTCTGATAGTTACTTGGCAATGTTTATAATATCGTGTCTATTTCTCAAAGAGCTGCACGTTGTTGCTAGGAGATCTCTTGCTTTCTTAAAGTATTTCGTGTTTCTAGTTTCGATCCTGTTTTATTTTTTCTTGTTTGTCGTGTCTTGTACTCTACTCCACTGTATTAATGTATTATGTTGTGTTGTGTTGTGTTATGTTGTGTTGTGCTGTGTTGTGTTGTGTTGTGTTGTGTTGTGTTGTGTTGTGTTGTGCTGTGCTGTGTTGTGTTGTGTTGTGTTGTGTTGTATTGTACTATTAAATTTTGTATACATGTTGGTGTTCACATAATTCTCTTAACATGGTTATAACATTGCTGATTTCAACTGGGATATATTTGTGCCTATTTTAATCTTGCAAAATCACTACAAATAATGTATCCTGTGATTACATTGGTTACATACTTTAGTCACTATACATTTTTGGAGAGGATCAGAAAGTAAAATTTTTCATTAGGCCGTATATATATACATATATATGTAAAAGCATTTAAACTAGATAACAATTGGGGACGTTTGCTTGTGCATAATTATTCAGCGCTTATTCCAAACTTGTACCTATATTCAAGCGGACTGTCGCAGTTTTGCACATATATTCACTTCATTGTTCGAAGACAAAAGGTTAAATATTGAAAGTTAAGGTATTCCATTAAAACTTGAGTCATATAAATTATTGAACAAATTATCCGGTCTTCTAAACAAAGGTGTTGTCATTAAAAGTTGAGTCATTTTGGGTTTTGTTGCCTCGACATTTTTAAGGGGGGTGGGTGAATAGGTTTTCGGATCGTCAGATTTCACAGAAAAAATTGTTCGGATTTAGAATCTGGCGAATATTTTACACGGATTTGCGGATCTTATTAATACAGCTGATTGCGCATTTATCTAATATTTTGGCTGGGATTGCGGATTTAGCTTGCAATTTAGTTCGGATCCTGGATTGTGACTTCATAGTAGAGCTTTTAGCGGATTCAAATTTAGACAAGACCATTGTCGGATCGCGGATTTTGCTTCAAATTTGGGCGCATCGGCGGATTTGTATACTCCTATTAACTCCCCCTCCTTTTAAGGTTTACGTTGCCCACTAAAATATATTCTTTGATTTCTAATTTTTTGTGGCTGAAAAAGTCGAAAATTAGTTTTTAAAGCTTTGAAATAGAAACATTTTGTAAGCTTAAAAGCTAGACTAGTGATTTATTTAACCTATATACCAGTGGTAGTAGTAAAACTTTATTTCACCAGGGAAACGTATCAACCATAATAGCTATCTAAAATACAGCCCTCCCATGCAATATTACAATATTTACAAAAATAGTAGAGTGTGTTACTATTATTTACATATGAGACAAAGTTAGCTACTAATTAATACATTTACAATGTAGTCAATGTTTGCAATTATTTCTAAACAGTTATAACAAGTCTTCAAGTTGGGTAGTTAAATTAAGATTCTAATTATAAAGAATTATTTTACGACGTGTGTGTTTCGCATTAGTTATTTTGAAGATCAACGATTCGCAATTTGCTTACATTCATTATCTATATATGGCATTAAAAAGAGTCAGAATTGTTTTAGTAAGAGTGCACATAAATTGCAACGTGGCATACTTGTACAGTTTTAAAATTGATGCGGTACAATGAGCGTTAAAATTGACTTTTAAAATATGAAATTGGCACTTCCTTCGCAGGCACATTTACGAAAAATGTTTGCGGCCTTATAGGCACATAAGTTACCCACTCCCGATTAGTCCCCCCCCCCCCCAATCCAACCGATTTGGATGTTTAAACCGCATTTTCCCCATATTCATAGTGTGTACGTACAATATATCAGTTTACAATATATTTATGCGAATTTGCTCTTCGTCATAGCTTAACATTCTTTGTTATGTTTCATCTGATGATACTTTGCAGGTCTCCATTTCATACTTATATGCTGCTTTCCATCGACAGCTCAGTTTCCTTTTCGAGTCGCATAGTAAGAGTTTTGTTGCCTCAGTATCTCGATCTCTCAGTTGTCACGTTAAAAAAGTTGCTTGCAGCTCAATCAGTTCTTATTAAAAAAATCCTATTTTCGCATTCTTCGAGTTTGGCATGTAATAAATCGTCAATTTCACATGCATGATCAGGAATTTATTACGTATTCAGATTTTCCCAAGTGAGGGAGTTTAGTGCATACAGTAGCATGTCGGGACAGTAATAATGGAAGTATATGGTTAATTCAAAAAGCTTGTCCTAGCTTGTTGATCGGCTTTATGGTGATCGTCACCTTTACTTATTCAACTTGAAATACATGCCTGCAGCTACATGTACCTCTTCTTAACTCGCATACATGGGATAATTAAATTTAATTTAATTTAGTTGCTTTTCCATCATCGTGTGATACTAGACATAAACACATAAGCTGGAGTTGTATTACATTTGAAGGAGAAAAATAGATTTTTAACAAATAATGAAGAACGGGATATATATACTTACATATATTTACATTTACAAACATTTTACTTGTGAAGTGGAAATGTTAACTTGAAGTAATTAAATGCAGAAAGTACTTTTTATAGTTTTTTTGAAAGTACCATAGAATTGGATTTTCTTATATTGTGTGGGAAGGTTATTCCAAACATCAGTTCCCTTATTGGCAAGAGTATGTTATGTATAATTTGTTCTGTAGCATTTTTTGTGCAAAGATGATGAATTTCTAGTGTTGTAGTTACGGATTTCTTTGTTAGTCAAGAAATAATTTGTGAAGATTTCTGGCAAATTTTGCAGATGGAAATATCTGAACATAAATAGACTTGTCAAGTAATCAATCATTTACTTTGTATATATTCAAAATTTGCAGTTTTTGTTTTTGCCGTACTATTTTTTTTTAATCTTCATTAATTTTTGAATACGCGATTTGTAAGTATTACCCCAAATGAGGTTACCATAAATTAGATATGGATAGACTAATGCATAATAAATTAGTTTTAAGGAATTCAGAGTTATATAATGTCGAATTCTTGAAATAATTGCGGCGCATTTTATCATTTTCTTCACCACCAAATCAAGGTGATTATACCACTTTAAAATTTCTGAATTTGGTAAATTTCCGATGGGAGATCGCTAAGCCATTTGGAAAACAGACAAATCTGTATTAATTGTTTCCCTTTCCAATTAAATTTGAGGTATTTTTTATACGCTGGGTGAATAGGCACAGAATAATAAGCATCTTTCAAATCAATAGATCGATGCCACATGACAATTTGGTTTCATTAACCGGATAGCTGACCAAATACTATCCATTTTAAAATGGTGATAAGTAACATGTTTGTTTAAAGATTTCAGGTTTAATATTATACGTTGCGAACCGTCATTCTTTGGACGAGTAAATATAGGTGAGAAATATTCCCCTGGTTCAGAGTTTGACAATTTCAAAACGCCTTTACCTAATAACTTGGTAATTTCTAAATCAATATGTGACTCCTCTAAAAGGGATAACGTCATTTGAGTTGGTAGGCGTTGTTGTAAAGAAATGTATCAAATTCAATCTTCTGACCGGAGACAGTTTCCAAAATTTCTGGATCAGACGTTAACTTTTCCCAAAAACTAATACAAGTATATAAACTCCCTACCTGATAGGTCGCAAGTTTTGTGTTGAAGTACTGTATGACAATAGCGTAGAGAGAAAAGAGTAGCATTGGCTTACCTGTAATTGTTCAAAAATGTTAATGTTGGCTGATTCAGCCACTTGCGGTCCGGTATGTGGTCGGACCTCTTCTTGAAGTTCTTCGAGTATTGGTGCGCTCTCCGATAAGGCGTGTTACCCTGATGCCTGGCTAAAAAAGGACGCCATGGTTTATGACCTGGGTTTGAGTGCTTCGACTGCTGTTGCCAGAGGGATTTTGAACTAGTAGCCGCATTTCCAATCTTTTTTGAGGTGCGAATGTGGTTGATTTGTAGTTCATCACCAAACAAAAAACTAGTAATAGGAACGTGTGACGCACACAATGTGCTAAATTCGCGATGGAGGTGAGGCCGTACGGCATCGATCGCGTCTTCGTTGGGACAGCTCAAAACTGATATGCCCCAAGAGGGCAATAACATCGGCGTTCATGGGAACTAAGGTAGTTTAAGGTATCGATATCAAGCTCGCTGGGTTCAACGCGCGCAGCCAACAATATATTTGTAGTTTCCTCTGTTATATGACCAACTTTGGTCAAAGCAGATTGGAGGGAGCTCAGTTGTAAATCACGCCCTTTGTAGCGCGGTCAAGTTTGCTCCAGATTTCTGGATTAACTTTTGGAACGATGCTTTCGCAATTTTCAGGGCGAAAGTATTTACGTGTATTTTGCTTCTCTTTAAGCTGCTCATCTGTGAGCTTTTCAACCAACGCTTGTTTATGATGTTGGCCAGCTTCGGCGCTATTTTAGGTGAGATTTTCTCAGTTTCTTCGAGGGTTTGTGAAATCTCGCCAAGCAATGGATCTTCGTCGGTCCACCGTTTCTTTGTCTCCGGTCCGGCCGCTGTCGAGGTTAATACCGATTCACTATCGGACTCTTGGCCTGATTCACGCTGCAGTACGTGATTTTTCTCTTCCGGGCAGATTCTACCCTGTTGGAAAGAGATTCTGACTGCATGTGTTGGAGTGATTCACTCATAGCAGTAATTGCCTGGCTCACGTTCGTTAGAGCTCAGGCGATTCCGTGATCGTTGTGCGACCGTGGATCTATGTCGTCTTCTAAGTCGTCTTTCCCGGAGGAGGGAAGAAGCTCGTCTACTACGTCGTCTCAAGCTTCTTCATTGTCCGCTGACGAAGAAGCCATGTTAAAACAGTGAGGATAAATTTTGTGCACCACTGATCGCTAGAGAAACTTGCTCGATCTCGCGCGCTCTATCTCACGTGACTTTCTAGTGACGTAGAACCATTCATCACTACGAAATAAAATTACAATTGCTCTTCTGATCGCCAGTAACTTAAACTAGTTTGTCACATTTAATCTCATTATATTTTGATGATCTCCATTATATTTTGCTGATCTTTTCACATTTCTGCTTTACACACCTTCACTTCTATTTTCGAGACAAAACGGTTAAATCTTGAAAGCTAGTCTCATTAAAACTTCAGTCACATACAGTATAGAGTTTTGTTGTCTTAATATCTCGTTCTCTTCCATCACGTTAAATGAGAAGGTTACCGGCCAACCAGTCATTAAAATTAATCCCATTTTCTCTGACTTTAAGTTTGGCATGTAGATCATCAATTTCACGTCGTAAACAATTTATTTCGTATTCAGATTCTTGTTTTTGAAGTTTAGTCCATGCAGTGTGTCAATATCACGAACATTTTGGAGGCGATCGGTTTTTTGCTGTTCGAGACATTCAACATAATCTTCTCACATAGTGAGTTTAATTGATCCTGTGGGATCTCGTACGATCACTTGTTTTTTTGAGCGACTGAGAACCATACTGAGTATTTTTCACAAATTGCACATGTCAACTTCAACCTTTAAAGCAAACCAATTGTTCTGGGCGACTTCACGGAGGTTGGCTATATCGTTTATTGCAGATAACGATTCACTGCTTCTTCCTCGTGCTTTTTCACAGCTTTAGGATAATAAAAATTGCTGTCAAATTCCTCTCAAGTGAAGACAGGGGACGTTTGCTTGTCAGGGCCGTCGCGAAGGGATATGGATTGGGGGGGGGGGGGGGGGGGGGGGGG